TGTGACTTATCGGCGGAAACTATAGGTGCCGAACTGATCCAGTTGTAAAAATCCTAAAAAAGAGCGTTGCCGCGCCTCCCTGAATTACGTTCTCAGGCTCAGATGTCCTTGCCTTGGAATGATCCCTGACGCGTTGAGTTATGTCCTGGCTGAACGGTGCAGGTCGGATTTGGGGCTGCAGCTATTGCTAAATTTATAACACTTTCCTGATCACGTCAGGTTTGACTTTGGCCTTGGTACTGCCTGAAAAAACGGAAGCTAGAACGAAATGCTGGCTCGAAGCAGGTCACTGGGACGACATTGAAATATTACGATATTGTTGCGTGGGTGAACTCGGACCAAGTGCAAAATCTTTGACACATTATTTGCCATCATAACAGTTGGCACGGAATGTTTGCACCATAGTGGAGCGTTTGTTAGCACCATTCTTCGTATGGGTCATATTGAGTCCTGCGGGTAGTGACCAATTTAATCCACTCCTGTTGACGTTGCTGGTTGGCTTTAGCCGTTCCGGTAAACCAAACGTCCGACTGGCCTCTTGCCACTCAGACTTGACGGAGCAAACCAGCTCGACCCTGCTCTTCCCCTTCATCCACCCCTTGCTAATCTCAATCAGCCCAGCACTGCCCTCCCCCACATCCACCCCGTACCGGTGTGTGCCTGCCCGACCCAGCCCCAGGCGCCCTCTGCTCGCTGCACTAACCGCCGGTCGACCCTGTGCTGAATGACCTCCATCGCCGCGCCTGAGGTCAGAGGTCACCAGCTCGCGGCGGTCCTGACACCCTCTCCCTCGCCCTCTCCCTCTCCCTCCTGCTCGCGACTCTCCGTCAGCTGATGTAACGATGATCTACTCCCAGCTAGCGCTCGACTCTCCTTTCCAGTCCTCTCTTTTTCTCACTTCTGTCTTGGTTGATCTCCTCGCTGCCGCGAAACTCTGAGATTTTATCCTTTCTTTCGTACTTTCTTATTACGTTCTTTCTTTCCTCCTTTCTTTTTCTTTCTTTCTTTTTCTTTCTTTCTTTTTCTTTCATTACTTCGTCCTTTCTGTCTTTCTTTATTTTTTTCTTTCTTTTTCTATTCTTTTTTTTACTTCCTAGATTATAATATTTTCTCTTTGGTGGGGAAAGGATCATTCTTGAGTGATCTCAACCCTTTCCTGCCCTGGGCGCGGTCACAGGTGTCTCAGGAGCGTCCAATTCCATGTATTTAGTTGACGTATGGCGGACGATGTTCATTTCCGCCCATCTCCGTCACCCTAGGCGCGGCATTCTGATCTGAGGCGACAGCTCCCCTTGTCGTCTGATCGGTGGTGAGAGAGCTCTGGATTAGGGGACGTTCTCGGCGCAGGTGGCACTTCTAGATTACCCCGTCAGGCATTTAATCAGGGCTGTAATTGATGCTGATCTTTGTTGGTATGTCTACGGCGAATGCGATGATACAGTGTCAGTTTAGGAGTGTCATCCGCCCTTCCTTTGTGACGATCTACCGACTGATCCAGTCTGTGGCTATATGGTCTTACGGTGATATTTCTGTGGTGTCTGGGTGTTATTGAGATAAATGGAGGTCGGACTTTAAGTGGGCTGAGGCGTAGGCTTACCATCGCTGCTCTGTTATCCCGAGAGGAGACCGATCTTAGTGATAGATGGGGGAGTGTCGAATGCTCACTGGCCGCCCATGCTCTGATTCATGGGAGGTCACCGGTTAAATTATATATCCCCGAGTGGTTTATGTCTCTTTTGTCGGTTAGGACCAACTGCCATATAGCGCACATGACACAGGATTTAAGAAGTTTATTTTGGTTTATTATTTAAATGAATAAGTATCGACAATGGGCATAGTACATGTGCACTGTGCAGCGTGCAGCTCAATGATTAATCAGGCCATGGAAAAGAACTGAAAGAGGGCAATGCGGACGCTTCCTCGTTGGCCGTGAGCCAACGGGAAGGGAAGATCTACCCTGCATTGGCATCAGTTGCACTTAACCCCCCCCCCCCCCTCCTTCTCTCCCTGTCATCGCCTGGACGTCCGGTGACCTTGCGAAACACCCCCCCCCCCCCCGCCTCATTCCTGGTCTGACCCGCCTCGGTCGCCCCCCCCCCCCTCCCCTGCCGTGACCTTGTGCTCCTCAGTCCTCTGCTGAGGGCCCGCGCTGGCCACTGAGCTGCGTGTGAACTCTGCACACTGCAGGGGTCGTTACAGAGGTTTATTGTCGCGACCTGCGCTCCTGCAATATCCGCGTACACGAGATCGCCGGATCGCTCTCTCTCCCTCTCTCTCTAGCTCTCCATATCTCTCATCCTCTCTCTCCCTCCATTCCTCTCACTCATTCTTTCTCTCCTCCTCGTCCTCTCTCTCCATTCCCGTCGTCCGTCCCTCCTTCATTCTCCCTGTCTTTCCGTCTTCTCCCTGCCTTCCCTTTCCCCTTCCCCTCCCTTTCCCATTCCTCCCACTTAAGCCGGACGCGTTGAATAGAGAAGTGTCCAGGCGGTACCGAGAACAGACGCCAGCTGCACAACGGGACCGGCCCGGTCAGCAGAGCTCCCGGCTCCCGGGACTTTCCTAACGGGATGTCTTTGTGACAGAGGTCAATCTGACTTGTCGCCACTCAAACTGCAGTAAACTAGGGACGTTTGAGGTCACGGGACGGGCACTTGACAAAGGGCACTTGAGGTCGTGATGGAATGCTAGGACACATATGTGTTTGGAGGAATAGGTAGGACATCGTCTTTGAGATGCATGATTCTGAAGGAAAAGCTCTGCAATGTTTGCTACATCTTTATGAGACATGAGAGAATAAAAGCGTAGCATAACGTAAAAATGTGTTATGCGGGGCGGGGTTCATGTGGAACGCTAGTTTTGATATATCTGTGACAGCTGAATACCTGGGAGGGTGCCGATGACTTGGTCTGCTGGTCAGTGGTCATTGACCTGAGGCCAGTTTTACCAGCAGAAAAATCGCCTGCTGTCGGTATTGTGTTTCTTAAAGTCTCCCACAAGATTAACCAACCACGCGGAAAAGTAATCGTTTATGTGAAAACATATCAGTTAGGCTTGCTGATATTATTCAATTCGGCTTTTTTTCTGTCGTGGCAGACAAAAATCCTGAGGTGGACTTAGTGAAATAAATAACTGCAGAGAAATAAATAACTGGAGTCGACAATTTTCTTATTTGCTGGTAAAACTGGCCCATGACCCCCACGACCTACCAATAACCTGACTTACTACGGGCACTGACCTTATCTGCCTCTGGCTTGACCTCTCACTGATCCAACCGATTGATGACCTAACCTGTCGGCTACCTTATCTGACACTGATCCAATCCTCTGACTACCTGACCCGCCAATGACCTGACCTGTCGTTGACCCCGTGGTACGCTGACTCAGCCCCCTCCCTACCCGTCCACACTGCGCCGTCTCGGAGAATGCCGTCGGACCGGGCCGGGCGGTACATCCACGTCATCTAAGGACGTCGAACGTCCTTGGTAGGCCGACGGGCACGCCGCGCGGAACGTCGCGCGGAACGGCCGACTACGTCAGAGCACGACGGGAGACGTGCGCAGACCGGCACGGACGTATGCGGGGCATTGCGGACGTGCTCTGGGGACTGTGGGATGGGATGGCATAGCTGTGATGCCGGTAGAGAATGCTATAGGGAGATCGTGGCGTCATGGTACCGGCATAGTTCTGGCACCGGTAGTGAATGCTGGATTTACTTGGGGAGGGAGGTCATGCCGTCGTGACGCATCGGTGAAAACGTATCGTTGAGCACTTCAGGCTTTGTTCAGAAAACAGGCTGTGCCCGTATCGGCGAGAAAGTCGTACACGCTAAATAAATAGTTCAGCATATTTACGTTTTAGTAAGCGTCATGAATCTCATCTGCGACCCAATTAATCACAGAGAAAGAACATAATTTTAACAAACGTATTTCGTTTTCTAAATTCTCCCCTCCACTTCAATGAGTCCCTACCGGCCGGCGTTCTGTCGCTCGTATAGCTTGTTGTTACCAAAATGCGTGACAATTTAGCGATCTTCTCTGGGGAATGGTGACAGGATGTCTCATGATGTCTCCCACGCTGCGGTAGACCCGATGCTTTGTTGTGGTCAATGTCCCGGGCCTACCTAAGCTGTCGTGATGTCGCTACTGGTCCATCTCCCATGAATACCCAGAATGCAGCACTGCGAATACCGAATCCGTTAGGCCGTGCTGTGTCATGAATGTTGAGTAGCCAGTAGCCACATAAACTAGGAATATCATAAAAACCGAAGCGCTATGGAAGTGACATGCCACGTAACTGGAAACGTGCAGTTCCTCTGTAAATCCGGTGACGTATGATGCGGGCTGGTGAGCGACCTTGAGTGGCCTTGCGTGACCCCTACTGGTCACTGGAGTCTAATGGTAGTGATTCATCTGACGTCATGGGCCCGGTGACGTCAGTAATTCCCAGTGACGTCATTGAATGGAGACAGTTGCGGGGTAGTCTCACTCCGGACATTGCTGCGGAGCGGGTCGCTTCCTCTCTCCTCTACCCCAGGTTTGACAGGCCTATCTGTGCGATGACAGCTACCTGCTCGAGATATGACCTTCGGTGACAACGCACCGCAGTGACTCAGATGAACTGTTGGACGCCATGCAAACGGCGTGGACAGCTCCTCATTCTCCTGATGATAACCTGATGATTAGGCACAGATCCTGTCTCAGTATGAAAATTAATGTGACATCGCCTCAACCCTAGCCTCAGTTTTAAGCTGGCTTGACCCCATCTGGTCTTTCCTGATGTGACCTCATAGCTGGCCTGATCTCACCCCTGAGCTGATATCGCCCCTAACCTGACCTCACTTGACCTGAGGCCTCTTGCACCAAATTCCTCTTGTGCCAATGCTTGGATTATTTTGCATCGCACACCCAATCCAAGAGTCAAATGTGACAATTTGCGTGTAAAATTTACCAAGCACCTGTAGGATTATGTATTGGGCTATCTGACTTCTGACCTCTTTTTCAGCAATGCGACATCGACCTGATCCTGCAGCGCGCCGAGACTCGCGAGGATGAACCGGAGCACGCGCCGGGAAACGAGCTGCTCTCGGCGTTCAAGGTGGCCAGTTTCCAGGTGGATGAGGACGATGTTGCCACCCTTCCTTCCGCAGAGGAGAAGGCGGCTGCCGCCCCGCCGCCGGATGAGAAAGACTGGGCGAGTTCGGGAGGTGTTTGGGGGATATGTGGGATTTGTGGGATGGTTGGATCGCTATGAGGAGGTGGAAATGGCAGGTGTGTGGTGTGTGGGTTCGGTTTTGAATTCCAGGCTACGTTGTGATCGTGGTCAGCAGAGCAGCTGATTGGATGAGTTTGTGAATTTGCTTATCAACATTGTATCAACGGACCGAGACCCGAAATGCTGGTGACGCCACGTAGTTATTAGTGAATTCACTTAATAACTGATCAAGTCATAGTCATTGGTGTTGTATGCATCAGGGACGCTGGAACAAGTAGCTTTGCTGTTCTGGACTGATAACAATCGTTATGCATACTCTGACACCGCTCTTCACGAACGCCAAAAGTACCGCCTGCCTGAAGGAGAAAGAAAACAATCCATCAACGTCCTCCAAAATATTTTCTGTCCTGTTGACGGAAAAGGCCCTCTCGCAAAGCTGATCTCACACTACAAAATGTCAAGGACCAAAGTATCGATCAGCGGAGCAGCGGCATTCTTTATCAGTATTTCTGGCACTCTTATCCCGCCATCGAACTCAGTATCTACAAGTTATCAGGCTCATCGCCTTCGCACTGTTTTGATTCCCAGATATTATCTAGCATTGTTGGACGATGTAGCACAATATTTATGTCTCTTGACAAAATTCGGCGGTCGATCACGCAGCCTTGGCATTAAAGTGCAGGCACATATTTCCACGGGCCATTTATTGTTTAATCAGTGTATGATAAAATACTCGGCGTGAGTTTAAAAAGTGGGGATCTCTCCCCTGAGCCCCGTGGTATTGTCGGGAGCATATCGTGCAAGTCCTCGATGCTCCAACTGGTCTGTGTGATATAAAACTGTGAACCTTTTTTCCGTGCGTGCCTTCAAATGAACCACGATAGCATCAGTAGAAGATACCCATGTCAGAACAAAGGAATTAAATGGAAATGCGCTCATAAATACCAACTCTGGAGTGCTGGGCGTATGCTCATTGCTGGCAGCGGCATTCATGCAGCGTCCTCCCTGATCTCTGCGATGATAAATGGTTATCGCGCACTGTATTCTACGGAATCCGTCAACTGCGGCAGAAGCTGTCGGACGAGCCGGTCCGTTACCGTGTGTGACAGTGACTGTCGGCTGCCAAATTGGCGTGACAGTTCGGTGGCAGAACGTGAGGCACGCTACTATTGACAAAACGGGAGTTGTTTCTCTTCACGTTTTCAACCAAGGATGGTGTGAATGAATTGTAACACTTAAAATACATTTTGAAATTTTGACCAATGATATCTAAGTTCAGTAAATATATGCATATTTGTGGTGAAGTGAGCTGTCAATTATGATGTCGTACCTACATGTTTACGAATATCTGATGTATCAATCGAAATTCCATTGTTATTTCTTCCTGTTGCCATGTGATGTTTGGGTACGGATTATACCGTATGGCTCGTGATGAGGGCTGAGGTCAGCCAAAAATCAAAATAAAACCATTGCTTGTTATCCTGTCGAGATAAAGCCTCGTCAGCATAAGCTGTTCGTTAATCCATGACCCCGTGGCCGGTTAATTGATCTTTGACGTTATCCCGCGATGTTTGTTCGTGGCGTTGATCCATGAGTTTGTGACATTGATCTGTAACGCTGTTCGACGACGTTATCTTGAAGCGTTATTCCATGACTTTGGTCGGTGACTTTGGTCTGTAACGCTGGTTTGTAACGTTCGGTGTCTTGAAACGCTGTCTCGTGACGGTGTCTTGTATTGGTATCTTGTTTGAATGGTCTGTAAATTTACCCATGTGATGATCGATGGTCTGTGACGCTGTTCCGTTATTTTTGGTACGAGGTAACATTTTGTGACGGTCATATTTCCGCCTACAGGACGAGATCATCCCGTCGGACCTGCGGGAGAAGGTGGAGGAGGAGCAGCGACAGAAGGAGATGGAGGACCTCTACCTGCCGCCGCGGTCACGGAAAACCGTCCAGGTACGCGCCGCAAACCGACCCCTGACCTCTGACCTGAACTGACTCGACCCGATACCTACTGGGCTCAGTTCAGTTCTGAACTGACTATGGGTCACCATACCAAAGGCGAGGAGTTAACACGTGGGCTGAAGCTACTTTCAGTTATTACCAGACTTTACTGCAAAGTATGGGTTTTCCGGTGTGTTTCCAGGTTTGTTGGTGTCAACGTTATTGCTGCCAACTGAGTAGAATGTGTTTTGCTTCCAGTTTAAGCATGATTGTAGTCGTCGCATAAGGTCATCCGTAGCTCGCCTCTAAGCTGCAAATGCTGGAAGCACGGGTTTTTGCAAAAATCCGGGTCAAGCTTGGCCTAGCGCGCAAAATTAACATAATCCGCAGCATTCTTAGACACGTCTCCAGAAGTCAACATTTACTATTCGATATCGGCATTCTAACGCATTAATCATACCGCTAATTGACCGCCACTGCCAAACGTGGAGCTCAACTCGTCCTTTGGACAGCCTTGGCCGGTGTACGACCTCCCGGCTAGTATTTTCAACTTTCAACCGAGCCAGCCCTGTCCAAAGCCCGGTCTCCGCTAGACGCGCAGTAGAAGTCCTAGCGGATGTCACTGAGCGTGGCTTTCAATTGGCACGTGGCTTAGACAACAACGACCATCGAGCGGCCTTGTCTGCGGACTTGTCTGCTGCGTAATCGGTTTAGAGATAATGGTCAGTGCGTTTTATAGTCAACGGCGGTAGTTGGAAGCCAGAGGAACCCTGCCGGACCTGGCTGCTACGTGTGCTCTCGGAGCGTAATCGGCTCAATTTGATCCCGCATGGACCGACCGGCATAGCTCAGTGTTGAGATGCATTCCTGGGTGAACTGTCCTTCCCGGAGGTACGCCTCGTGGGCGCCGGACCGGCGTCGTGCTTGTGGTGTGCGGACGTACAAACGCCTGATAGCCGTCGTACGATTAATGCTGTATAGCTGTACAAACTCCGTACTAGCGCTGGCCTGGCGTCGACGCCGCTTTTAACTAGTGTCCCACTGTCGACGTGTGAATGGCGTAACGGAAGCAATAACGGGTGGTCAGTATGAAACTGGACAAAGCTTGAATTGTTACTGTGTCGAAAGTTTTCAAGCGAAAGCAACGAAAATCGCGTTACTGTGCCATTATTTTAGTGTGATCACGCTTGCCCTAATGGATGTGCGACACTGGACCTCTGTCAGCCTCCAAGCGCACGCGCGCTGGCAGCCCCGCTATTGTCTTTCGCGGCACCTCCGGGTCGATTTGACGGATGGTCTGCTGGATTCTTCGCTTCAATTGTGCGTCTCAGCTGACCTGTCACCTTCCCTTATACACTTTCTGTTTGATGAGCCCCCACAGATCGTCAATGGGCTAAATCTGAGGGGTACATGGTGGGTTCATGTCACGTGCTATTTCGGGCACCCCAGCCTCCTCAAGAAGTTTCGTGTTCTAGCGCACGTACTGTGACTGTTGCAAGGTCGGAACCTAACAGAGCATCATGCTCTGTGTTCTGAGACTCAAGAAGTGGTAATAACACGCCATTCAAACACTTTTCATAGCACACTTCGCCCTTCATATTGCCTGTGCTCGGCAAGTAACTTGACGCGTGAGCCCCTCGGACTCATGGCAAGCCAGACGGGCATCTCGGGTGGATGCTTGCTCTCAGGTCGAAAGCGAAGGTGCGATCCACATGTGGAATAGTGTCTCCACCAGCTGAGGTGTAAAATTCGGCAATGGAAGGCATTTGGCTGCCACTGCAATTGAAATAAGATTCATCGTCCATATGCACCTCCATGTTTTTGCTACCCTGCATTGGACCCTGTGACAGACGGCGCAGGCGGGTTTTCTGCGAACGAAATTGTGCCTCCGTCCCGTCACCTTTATCCTATTCTTGTACCTGCTTCGTGCTTGTTGACACATTAATTGGTCATATGTTTTGAAGATTCCAAAATTTCTTCCCAAAGATCACAAGGAGTGCCCCAACTGTTCGGTGACGGCGCCGGTTTGTTTCTTCCGGTGCTGAATGAGCCTTTTCTTGGTGATCTTGCCGTTCCCACCATGCAAAACATCTGCAAGTCCTCAGAATTCATCGATGATCACATATTCTTAAGATCTGGTTACACCCTATGGCGTAATGTGACGCATAATGGTAACATTTTTGTAATTTGTGTTATTTTTACAAACTTGCGCGAACAGGTTCCGGAACGCTTGCTGACTTACCGGAGCAATGTTTTCTTCTAGTTAATAGCAGAAAGTTGAAATATGAGCTGGTAATATAGAATAACTGGAAGCATTCACCTGCCAAAAATAATTAAAATATGTCCACAATTAGAGATGCTATGCATAATCAAATTTTGTCCAGTTTAATACTGACCACCCGTTATCTATGATCTAACTTCTACAGCTCTTTTACCTTCATCGAGCGTTTCGCTTTCATCGCTTTTTGATTTATTTCATCCATTGTGCCAATTGAATCACTTCTCTCCAAGGCCGTTTCTGACGTTTATCTCCTGATTGAGTTTTTTCGATCACATTTTTTTACCGTTGACGTCAGATGATACTAGTGTTCTCGGCCTTTACGTCTTTTCCTAACAGCGACTTGTTGCAATTCTATTGAAATCATTTCCGACTTGCTAGCGTCCGCGTCGCGACTAATAAATCCTCAAAATGGGAGGCATTGTCTGACGAGACGAGTAGTGGAAGACTGGATATGCATGGGCGGGCCCCAGCCTTCCAGCTCCTGTCTGCGGTCTCCCTCCACCTTTCTGTAGAGTGGGTGAGGGGACATGTCCGGGGTGCGCCGTTATCAGACGGGGACATAATGTCGGTGACCTGTCTGGCTTCCGAAACACGTCCGTCCGTCTTCCCGATGCGTCAGACAGAACAGCTGGAGGGAGGGAAGGGGAGAAAAGGCAGACAGAATGTCTGTGTTTTCTGGAGGATGATTTGGGCTGTCTGCTATTCGGGAGAGAGAAGGGGGCGATAAATGTCTGATTGAGATAAATGTCTGATTGGGACGGACGAACTGTCTGTTGCGCTTGGAAAACAAGACAAGCTCATTGTAAGGTCAGGGGGGGGGGGGGGTAGATGGGCATGTCCGGAGGGAGATATGTTCTTTTTTTGGCGTTAGGAGGATGTAAGGTCAGGATTGTGCTAGTCAGGGTGGGGCGACAGACTGTTTTGCCTGTAGGGAGAGCCAGGCTGTCTGGTATGTCCCAATCCAACGACGCATTGTTTTTCCGTCAAGAGGAGTGGTAGACTGTGGTATGTTTAGAGGGACACCGAAATATCTGCTGGCCTGCGTCCAAGCTCATATATCGCTGTTTGGTTGGATATCGTATGCAGGTCGTCGAGGGGATTATGACTGTATAGTGTATGTGCATCGCTGTCATTGGGTCACCAGCGTCAATTAGTGAGCTGAATGGAACCGGCTCCGTTTGACTGCTGCACGCAGGTGGTGGCTAATGGCTTGATGTCTGGGCTCAACGAGTAAATCTGACTGCCTTGTTGAGCACTTTGGTTGTATTACACCAATGATCTCTCGTCATTTGTCATTTACTTTGTTTGGGCCACCTCGCCTTGTACAGACATTGCCTTGGCAACTGATGGCTATGTTCAAAGGTCCTAAATACGCCTGATGCACAGTAGTATATTCCTGTGTTAAATACGCCTCTTTTTTACCCTTCAAAGGTAACCCGTTCTGAATCCTGGGCCCAATCTTACCAAATGCCGTGAATGCGCATTCACGGCATTTGGTAACATTCAGAACTATTCCACATTCACTTATTCGTTCGTTCAGGCAACATTCATAATCATTCACGCTATCAAAATCATTGGACAAGATTAGCTAGATGTAAATAAAAAGGATATATTTGATATCAAATCCGTTAACTCCGGCCTGTGCTGCCAAATCCTATTTACGGCATTGGTAAGACTGGGCCCTGGATTGACGCCAACTGCATAAGTTAACCCTATTAGTGGCAGGCTCCTGGCTACCCCATATTAGTGGCAGGGGGGGGGGGCTGTTTACGACCCCCCCTTGATATCTCGAGATCTAACGGGCCGATTTTCAAAATTCAAACGGCATTCGATTTGGCTCAACGAGATCTACATTTCTAAAAAAATAAAATTAAAAAATGTCAATAGGGGGGGTAGAGGGGGGTAAAAAAGGGCAAATTGCAGATACATTTTAGACTGTTTATCACGGCCAGGTTTCTGAACCAATCTTAACGCAACTTTTGCCGATCGATAGAGAATGAACCAGGAATTCACATGGATCCTAAAAATATGCATTTTCAAAAATCATAGGCGGATACAGATCATTGAGATTGGGGGTACACAAAAAGTATAGTAAATAAGGTTTTTGTTGGTACTGTTTCTAAAAAGGGTGGCAATGGTCTTGTTATGTTACAATTTTCTTATGAGAGAACGACTAAAATTGTATTGGTCATGCATAGGCGGTGTCAGGGCACCTATGTTGGGAGGTAAAAAATAACCCCCCTTTTTGGACGCCTGGATCCGCCTATTATAGCAAAAACGTGTCAAAAGAGGATGCACAATAACTTTGTATATGTTATCACATGATACCTTTCATTCACTGTTCGTAAAACTGGTGCAGCATCGTGATCTTCGCCCAAATGACTCGCTTCACGAATAGGACCCCCCAATTCCCAGTGCTCTGGAGCCGCCCCTGGTAAAGTTATGAACTTGAAATTTCCAGGGAATGTGCCCAATTTAGTTTTAGGAAAAGTCAGAAAATTTCAGCATCGTAGCTTCAGCGGTTTCGGAGATATTCCCGAAAAACCTGAGGGGTGGATAAAAACAACCCCCCCCCCCCTGCCACTAATAGGGTTAACTGCAAATTTAAGTCAGCCTGTGAACTCTATGAATTTGTAATGCGCTACCTACGTGTTCCTCTCGCTGCGCTTTTTCTAACGTAGACTCTCGCGAGATTAAGCGGTAGGTTTTGCTTTTAGATTCCCGGTTATATCTCAGAAACTAATCGATCTGTGATGAAGCCATTTTACACGATCATGGCCGGCTTGTGAACCAACAAGTCGATCGCATCTTCAACACTTAAAACCTTAAGACGACGAAGATATAGCCTGAAGTACACTAAATTTTCTAGGTGCAAACCCTTTCGTTAAAACCCGCGAGACCTGTACTTTGAGTTTGATCTTTGCTGAAAGCAAGTAAACTTTCATCCGCCGTTTAGGCACAAGTAGCTATTTGTCGCCACCCCCTCTTGGTTTCCCATATACTATCCATTTACCTATCATCTTCTCCCCCAGGCGGCGACGGCAGAGGAGGAGGACGAGAGAGAGCAGCGGAGGAAGCGGCGACGAGACGCTTCTGACGCCGAGTCGGACTCTGAGCAGGCCAAGAAGCGGCCCAGGAAGAACATGAAGGAGCGTGTCAAAGGATTCACGACGGACGAGGTACGGTGCTGTCAGAATCTGAGTTAGGGGGATAGCGCAATGGGCGACTGGAGCGATGGGGGCTGGCAATCATGTGGGATTAGTAGGCTGTTGGCCTGATACTGACTTTCGTCATACATGCTCTTGTTTATCATCGGAGTCGGATTCCGGAGTAGGTTTTGTGTTGTGAAGTCAGGCTGTTTTCTTTTGGGACTGAGTGTGAATTGTCATAGGAAGTAGTTTTTTTCGATCGGGATAGAAGGCTAGTGAACTGAGCTGTCATGGACTTGTGATAAAGAGAATAGACACCAGCTAACAACCAATCGGCGACAATGTAGTGCTGGGCGTTACGCTTCACAATTATATAGTCTTTTTGGCCATCATGGTATCGCAATTTGCAGGTGCCATAACTGGTGTATTCCACCTTCAAGATGCATACCAGTTATGTCCCACCCCTCTCGTATCAATACGACAGTCAGAACGTCAGTGTACTAAACCCCGATATGGCACCGTTAAAACCCAGTACAAAACGTTTGCGGATTTAAGGTGTTCCGGCTAATTCAGCTCACACTGATTTTGGCTTTGATTGCATATCGCTGTGCAGTTATTCGGCTGGTTATTCAGCACATTTTGTTCGGTATTCATGTAACACAGTTCGCGACATTCATACACACGGTCCGCCCACGGACAGGTGAATTACAAATAGCCGAGACTCGTGGAACCGTAACCGAGCGGAGGCGAGCAGAGCTGTCGCGATCTTGTTCGATAACGCACGCAGAGCTTCTCTGTCAGATCATTTCCGAGAAGTCTAAAACGGCAGAATTTCACATGTTAGCATGATAACGATGTTGTATGAAGGTGTGTCGCGTTTTAGATCCGCGTGAGGTGAATGTCCCTCTCAGGGCCGGTGGGTAGGAGGTGAGGGAGGGGTGGGATGTCACAGGACGTGGTTGTGGTCTAGTTAAGGTTCGGCTCGCCGGCTGTGACCATCGGGAAGTACGGGATCGAATACAGGCCGGTGGTTATGTCGGCGGTATAGTGGTGTTCCTCCTTACCATCCTTATGACGCTTCTGACCAATATTTTGCCGGTGTTAACAGCCGCTTCTGTTCCCCTTCGTGCAGTTAAAAGTGTGAGCACTAAACGGCAATATAAAAATATTTAAGTGTAGGTAGACTGTTTTTTTTTCACTGTGTCTGTATCCTCCTACTCACTTTTCCTCCTTCCCCCTTTACAGGTGCGTCGGTTCTTCAAGGCGTTCCGCCGATTCGGCTGCCCGATGGAGCGACTCGAGTCCATTGCCACCGAGGCAGAACTGCAGGAGAAGCCCCAGTCCGATCTGCGCCGACTGGGGGAGACGATCCTGGCCAACTGTCACGAGGCTATGCAGTCACAGAAAGAGGCGAAGGATAACGGGACGGCGCCGCCGCCGGCCGCCGCGGAGACCGAGAACGGGGACGCGCAGAAAGGTGGGGATAATGAAGAAAGGGAGGAGAGAGAGAGAAAGGGAGGTTTGTGAGGAAGTGACTGGAGGTTTAACATAGTGTTTGAAGATGGATTTGAGGCGCAACACATTGATAATGCGTTTTTGAAGACATGCCAGAAGTAGAAAACAGCGTTAGAAGACTAGTCCATAGTGATGTATTTTGGTGATTTGCTAGTGAATATGTCAAATAAGATCATATTGTTCTGAGGTCTTGGTCTTCGTTCCGCTAAATGTGCTGGCAGGGCCCGCAGCACGACCTGTTACTGCTGACATGTCTCCAACTCATTCCTGTGTCTCTGACATGCTAATAACTTCCCCGGTCCCTCTCGTCAGGAGTGCGCAAGAAGCGCGAGTGCGGCCCGTCGTTCCGTCTCTCTGGCGTGGCCATCAACGCCAAGACGACGCTGCAAACGCTGGAGGATCTGGAGCCGCTGCACCGAGCCATGCCTTCTGATCCCAAACAGCGCCGTCACTGGCGCCTCGAGCCGCCCAACGGACGGTCAGTGACGAACGTGGAAAGTGACGGGGAATGAGGAGGGCTGGGGATGGTTATTATCTGTCTGTCTGGGATAGATGCATGCGTTTCTGCTGGGGCGTTTTTTTTTTTTTTTTTTTGAATGTACACTTCTCACTCAGGGCTTCTGTTTTCCCGTTTCATCCCATTTTCCTTACACATTCTTTCACTAACTCGCTTACCACCTCACTCACTCACTCACTCACTGTTTCACTCACTCACTCACTCACTCACTCACTCACTCACTCACTCACTCACTGTTTCACTCACTCACTCAAATCCATATACCCCGTAAAACGTTTTTCATGCTACAAGATTCCAACCAGGGAAAAGTTCTATACGCGACACAGAACAATGCTCGTTGCGTTCCGAGACAGCCTGATCATCTCTACCCACCCCCATTCTTGCGTGCTGGCATAACGGATCACTGACCGACCAAAAACGGAACGCTAGACATTGTCTCTCCAGAGAACACTGCAAAAGGCGGTAGTGTGATTCAATAATTCAATATACCCTGGTGTGCTTTACGAAACTGGAGGGACCGGAATAAGGACTTTTTCGAAAATGTGTCGTGAGCTGAGAGTCATTTTATAGTTGTTCACGTGCTTTTGTTGATGGTTGCTCCCCATTCTGAGGTGGAGCTCAACGTTTATCCTTTATGTGGGCCTCTCGATGAGAGTTGCAAAATTTCCCTACCGCGCTACCGGCATGCCGGTAATTTTTCACTACCGCAGGTTTTTCCGTGGTATCTGGCATGTCTTGCCGGTAGCATGCCGGTATTTTTGATTTTGCACAAAAAAAATTATCAGCATATGATTCAAACTTTGGACACTAGGAGGCTATTGAATTGTAATAACAGCAATCTTAGCCACTGCAAAATACATTTTGTGATAGAAGTTCCATTGCTAATGGTAGGGGTAAACAATGAAAACACATGAACCTCAGCACAGGCACGTATCCAGGATTTCGCTCAGGGGGGGGGGGGGGCGACAGCTGAGAAGGGCCCGGAGGTCAGCTAAAAGGGGCCCCACAGCGACTGCCTATCCTGGTGTGAAAAAAAATCGAGAATGCCGAAAAACAGTAAATTTACGATAGAATTCGACCTGTTGTAAATGAAAATGCATTGTCTTGCGTTTTTTGACCTTGGTAAAATGTTTGCAGTTAACTTCCGTTGAAGTTCGTTTTTGCAGCTCACTTCCGTTGAAGTTCGACGTTCTGAACATTATGAACAGTTAGTTATTAATCGTGACTCGTGCCAATATTACCTCTTTACACCCCACTGACTTTTTCACCGGTTGCGTTTATTCATGACATTGGAAGCAGCATCAGCCTTCAGCAAGCATGATTATGTACAGTGGATCTTATTAGGATCTCCAGACGTAACTAGATGGCGTTGAGCCTTAGTCGAGTCCATGTCAAATTCAAGGAGAGGTCACTACCGAGCTGGGCCCGATGGGGAGGTGGGCGGGGAGGGGGGGCGGGTGGCGAGGTCACGGTGCGGGTGACCTGTCAAACAGCCCCGGCGCGGTGGGGCACTGCCGTAGGCAAATGGCGCACTCCAGTGTTGTTCCATATCGCGGTGGTGGGCCGGGCGGCCGGTTAGCTTGGCAGCTTGGAAGGAAAGGATAATGAGGCATGGTTTTGCTGTGGCCGGTTCACCTACTGTTATTTATGATGCACCCAGAGTAATGCAAATGTGGCGTTGATAATGCAGCTGGCAATGGAATGCTAGCGAATGCTCCGAGCGCCTAGCTATAAGGATTAAGATTTTTTATGTCTCCTGAAATTTTCATTGAATATAATTCAAGCACTAGAGAGATCGTATTCGTTCGCCAGTTTTTGACCGGCTGGCGTTTCTTGCGTAGAGCGCCCTTGGGCAAATATTTAGGTATAACGCAGGTGATTTTTTTTTTTGCTGGTAAGACGCCTTTAGGGTCAAATCAAGCAGTGGCGGCGGAACACCTTTAATGAAGTGGGGGCACTGCCGACTTTTGGTCCCATTCTTCCCATGCAACGCCCATAGCGCTAATGTTAAAATGCCAAAATCAAACGGGGGCACGGTGCCCCGATGCCCCCCTCCCCCCCGTTCCGCCACCACATGAAATCAAGTCGCTAAGAGACGATGAGGAAAAGTGGACGAACGCCACATTTCTGTGCATGAAGTCTCGAGTTATAAAAAGCTAAAAGTTATTTTACGTGTAAGCTAAAAAACAATAAGATCAGTTAATAAAAATATTTGACCCGAAATTAACTTCTGTTTTGTCTGACCATGATTGCATGTATGACCCCGGTCCAGCCTGGTTCAACTCGGCCCAGCCTGGTTCGGCTCCCCCTTTTTTAATTTGACCCGAACCTTTTGAATGGAAGGAATCACAAGGACAGAGTCCCCGCTAAGCTGAGCTTGTTAAGCGTTGAAACCTGCCATCTACCCTCCGATCAAGCAATTCCTGGTCTATTGCAGACTATGGTTTTGAGGTTTAGTCTATGGCAAAATGGTCTGTGGTTTAGAGTCCAAATTTTAACGTGCGCACATAGCCGCGCACGGCCGGTCCCCTCGCTGACTTCGCCTGGCAGCGGCCTGCCACCAACCACAACCATACCCGTCAGGAGGCTAAAAAACGTCAAGCACACGTCGTGTTTTGAACCCGGACTTTTGCAACCGGGACGTGCGCCTTCACCACATGGCACATGGAGTCCAACGCTCTACCGACCGAGCTACCGGGACGGACATTTACCTTGGGGTTTCGCCTCGTGACATTGACAGACGTCAGACACTTTGGCCGAACTTTAGCCGAAACACTGAGCAAGCTGCGCAGGGCGATAGGTGCTCGTAGCGTTGAGGTTGAGTAACCTGTGAGCTGAACGCGATGTCGTGAGTTCGAGCCCCACTCCCGGGTCTGGTTTTATCTAGACACAACCAAAACCTTTCCTTCTACTGCAACACAGCTAAGCACGATGACATCTTTCCCCAATATCTTTCCCCAATATCCTCCCCAAAAGTCAAAATTATCGCTTATAAACGTTTAGCTAAGTTTCATTTTTTAGGAAAATATTTTTGGTCATTTGTCTGGAGCCATTTCAACTCTTTTTTCTTTTCTGATTCTTTTCGACCCGATAAAACCCACCAAAACTGAACGTGCCAAATGAAAAATATCTAACTCAAATAACAGTTTAGAAAAGCCTCATCATGCATCATGAAAAGCATCATGCAACTATCGACTGAAAAGTTGCATGCTATGAATACGTCCTAGATTGTTTCAATTATCATTGTTCAACATTTTGGCTGGAACTGACGCTGCCTCTGGCTTGCCCGTTTGTTTGAGATAATGATTCCCTTCAGTCGCGTTCTTGCCGGTTCCACATGAACAGGATACCACCATACCGGAGTGAACGCACCCGCAACCATCATCCCCTCCCCTCAGCCTCGGCGCAGTGGCGGGCGGCCCTGGGCGGCCCACTCCCGGTGCTACGCAGTTACGCACGCCCCATGCGCGGTGATACCGCGTCACTCCCCCTCCCTCCTTCCCCCACAATGACCGGTGACCTCACTTCCCTCGGGATTTGGACTCGCCCTACCCCGACCGTAGCGCCACGTGGTGGCTCTGGAGATCTTAAATAGACCCACTGTACAAGGGTGTAATTTTATATCTCTTTGTGGGGGCAGATGCATCCACAATCCTGAAATATGCCCCCACAATGATGAAAATGCACCCACAAGTCTTATGTCACAAGCGCCCTTTCGAGAGCACGGCGCCCTTCGCATGCTCTAACGGCGTCCTCCTGACCGCCTCGCGTTCCTGGATAATATAGCGTTTTTAATCACTCGGCGCCCTTCTGGGAGAATGGCGCCCTTTTGAAGGCACTGCACCCTTCTCATGGTCTAACGGCGCCCTCCTGACCGTCTCGCGCCCTTATGTCTCTGTCCACCGTGCATCCCTCGACTGTTCGGCGCCCTTCTGGCCTCTCAGCGCCCCTGGACCACATAGCGTTTTCAATCACTCGGCGCCTTTCTATGAGAATGGCGCCCCTTTTCATGGTCTCACGGCGCCCTCGTAACCGTCTGGCGCCCCTATGTCCCCGCCAACTTAGCACTACTGACTGTTCGACACCCTTCTGGCCTCTCAGCGCCCCTGGACCACATAGCGTTTTCAATCACTCGGCGCCTTTCTATGAGAATGGCGCCCCTTTTCATGGTCTCACGGCGCCCTCGTAACCGTCTGGCGCCCCTATGTCCCCGCCAACTTAGCACTACTGACTGTTCGACACCCTTCTGGCCTCTCAGCGCCCATGGACCACATAGCGTTTTCAATCACCCGGCGCCCTTCTAGGAGAATTTTATGAGAGACCATGCCCTATTTTATGAGAGACCGTGAGACCATGCCCTTTGCATGATCTCACGGCGCCCTCGTAACCGTCTGGCGCCCCTACGTCCCCACCAACTTAGCATTACTGACGGTGCGGCGCCCTTCTGACCTCTCTGCGCCCCTGGATAATATAGCATTTTTAATCACTTGACGCCCTTCTGGGAGAATGGCGCCCTTGTCATGATCTCTCGGCGCTCTTGTAACCTTCTGGCGCCCCTACGTCCCCTAAGCGGCCTGGCGCCCCTACAGCTGGGCACCCACAATCATTTTGGGAAAATTACACCCCTGATAATGTACACTTGTGATCGATCCTAATTGACACTTCTTTGCCTCCTATCAGTCTCATCTCACATTTTACCACCAATGGCATTTCCGGTTGAACAAAAGGCACATACATGCTCGGTAAATAACAGCGTCACAGACCAAGCAACAAGCGACCAAGCAACCACACGTTACCAAACCAACAGTCACACCACTTGCCGTGGACGATGCACGGACTCGGACTCACCGGACGGAGTCGCTGGCCCCCGCCCGCGCCGCCTCGCACCTCAGTGCGGCTATCTACGCGAAGCGGCGCCCCCTGACCACCGGCCAGTACCACGGGCCACCGGCGCGGCGGTT